TAGGATGATCATGTCAACCTTTAGGTAGAGACTATTAAACATAAGTAGTGAAGAAAGAATGCTAAACAAAAGGATCAAGGACAGCCCTAACCGGTTTGGCTCAGTGGATAAGGATCAAGGACTGAATACTTTTCCCATTGGGTTTATTTCCATATCAGTTCACTCTTCTTGTAGTAGATCCCCCATTTTAGGTAAGCTCTGTTGAGAGTAATTAAGCTAAACAGAAGTTATAAGTAAAATGATCACTAAAGCAACTCATATGTTACTTAAGGTAATACAGGAATTAATAATGTATAGTATTTACTTAACTTTCTTCCAACTTCTCTTTTTGTGAACTTTGTTTTTATAGAAATCCATACTGTATCTTTGGGAAGTTGGTTTAGAATAATTCTTACTACAAGAAAATGTTATATAAAGTATTTGATGCCCCCAAAGGAAAAATAAGTAGAATCAATTCTATTTAGATATTCTTCCTCAAAATGATTATAGTCATAGCAGTTCCTTCTTCCAGATTTTTTAAATTACTATTATTTGGCACTGGGTTGTCCATTTATCCCTATCATCTCTTCTGCTGAAGTTTGGGTATTGACTTACCTTTTATAAGAAGCTCCTTTCCCTATATTTGATGCTTACTTTCATAGCTAAGAATCAAAATAATCTACTTGTATCTATCTTATGTTCTGTTATTCATACCTGTCCATAACCTTTTCCCAAGGACTAGGACTAGGACTAGGCAGTAATATGGTAAGTCACTGTGATAGGAAGAAATGAAAAATAAAAAAAAATAAGTGGAAAACTATATCATTCATTTATGCATTCATTTAGCAAATTATATCCTTATGTGTTTAGAACTGTTACTAAACAAACAAACAATATTAAATATGTACCTTACTTTCAAAGCACTTGTAGTCTGGTAAAGGAGATAAGAGATACATACAAATAACTGTGACAGATTTGGAAAACAAGTGCCATAAGACTAAGAAATATGAGCATCCAGAGAGACATAAATTGTTTCTCTATATCAGGGGTCCTCAAACTTTTTAAACAGGGGGCCAGTTCACTGTCCCTCAGACCGTTGGAGGGCCGGACTATAGTTTAAAAAAAAAAAACTATGAACAAATTCCTATGCACACTTCACATATCTTATTTTGAAGTAAAAAAACAAAACGGGAACAAATACAATATTTGTATGTGCATGTGGCCCACGGGCCGTAGTTTGAGGACCCCTGCTCTATATTATTCATCTTACAATGGGCAAGATTAAAAATTCTTGGGATCTAGAGTAAAGAAAATTCATTCCCTCACTATCACCTCCAGCTCCAGAGACATTCCAACTACCTACTAGACAATTTCAATTTCCCTGGATGTCTCTATTTGAAAATCTTATTAGGATTTCAAACTCACTATGTCCCAAACAAATACGTCATTTTCTCTCTCTAAACCATCTATCTTTCCCTATGTCTACTCCCAAGTCATTTCCCTACTTTTATTATTAAAATCACCCTCTCTGTACACCTCAGTCACTTTCTCCCTCATTGCCAGTCAATAACATGTCAAACCACAGAGTTTCTACTTCCTTATAACTTTTCCCCAGACCTATCTTTTCACTTTATTGATAGACTCTTAGACTTGCAATAACATCTGAACTATTTTCTTGAACTTTTACCTTTCCTGACTACAATATTCAACCTCTATCCTGCTCACAGATTAATCTTTCCAATTTATAGCCCAATCATGTAATTCCCATAGTCAAACACATTTAGAGGCTCTAAACTAATAAACTATATGAGTCAATATTTCTCATCCTGGTATTCAACATATGCTGAGGCTGTATTTCTAAGCTCATTTCCCAACATTTATCTATGTCCAACCTGTGATTGCCTTACATTGCTAGTCTAGACTCTATTGATGTTTAATATTCCTATTCAGGAAGCTACATTCATCTGGAACCTCCTCATTTTCAAGATTCATAGTTCATGATAATTTCCATTTTTATATGAAGACATTTCTGATGTCCCTATACCCAAAACTAAGCTAGTTGTGAATTCTCCATATCACTCTTGATTTACCACTCAAGGCCTACAATATAATCACACTAATAATTATTTGGGTCCTCCTTCCCCCCAACCCCCACTTCTAAGGCAGGGACTGATTGATCTCTAAAACCTTCAGCATTTAGTATAGTATGCCTTTCAGTGTGTATAATCTATCTCTTTTTCGTGAAATTGAATGTTAAATCACTAACAAATGAATTTCTCCAAGCAATTAAATTCTTCCTCAGATATCAATACAGTGATGTTTGTTCCTGCCTGCAAATGCCTAAAACATATTAATCTTTCCTAAATTAGTGTAAAGTTCAAAAAGCAAATGGCACTTGAAGAGGCAATTGCTTTCAGGGCCTCCCTTTTCTTGGAATCCCTCTTCATTTAACTTCTCTCAGACCCAATAGTCAAAAGCTCATTGATCGAGACTTAAAAGCCAAAGGGGCTTAAAGCCACGGTAGGAGTCTGTTCAGTTTGAAATATAATTTGAAAACCTCAGGAAAGAATGACAGTTCCTTTTCAGGAATCTCCCACACATATCTCACAAAACAGCTTTCCAAATTGGAGATAGTATAATATTATACCACCAACCAAGTAATAAAAAGTAATTCACTGCCAAGTAGAAAGATCCCCTTGATTTTCACAAGGAGCACAAAAGACTATATTGTATTTATTTAAATCTCAGGCTGATAAAAACATCAGAAAGAAAAAGAAAGCAGTCAATTTCTCTAAAAGATCATTATTTAAAGAAATAAATTACTATGCAGAAAAGCATGGATCTTCCTGACAACTTATGAATTTAAGACACGAAATACTCCCCTCCCCACCTCTAATAATCAACTCTGCGGATGAAATACGTTAAGCATTCTAAGTTTGGGGAACATAGAGAGCTTTGAAATCAATGTGTTTCCGGTTGCAAGGGTTAGGGGGGGAAACGTACTAAATCAGCTTAGGAAATGCTTCATTTCCTGTCCCATATCTGGGAAGGAAAACATAAAACAGGCAGAACCAGGTGCAAAAAATCATACACGTGAATGGGAAAACCTCTTCAACTCCTAGGCACCGCTCAGGTGGTCGAATTATGCTCCCAAGCTAGAGCTTTCTTTTCTAAGATACATGGAGTGGTTTTTACAAACACTGGCTTGAAGTTAACAGATAGGCTTGTTGACAGAGGTTGAAGAAGATGGTCATTATGTAACTGTTGTCTGGGGTCCAAAGGGAAATTACCGGACTTGGGTAAATAGTTCATTAGAAAGAAGACACAATTAACAGAGAGAGTAGGCTCATTACCGGCGAGCTAACGGAGGTTGATATTCTCCCAAAAAATGACCAGGTAGAAAAATCTGCCAGGTCATCTCTGGGTTGTCCTTCACCTTTCCATCTTCCTAATGCCTAGATTTTGCAGGCTGCTTGATCCTATTGATCCTATTCCCCTTTGCTTCCAGAAAGACATGTAATTCATTCAAAGTTTAATGATGCCAGGAAAGCAGTGTCCTCACGGATGCTCGCAGACCTGAAATGCTCAGCAGCCCAACCCAGCCTTTCAGAAAGTATACTGATCTGACACCTGTTTGTGAGCAGTGCTTTCCATGCATCAGGATTCTTATTAATCACGCCCCCCCCGCCCCCCCCCCCGGCTCCCCGTGCATACTGAAGGGTTACTTCTAAGGGAGTGTGAGTGTATTGATTTCTGGGACACCTCATACATACTCTTTATTTTAAGAAATCAGATTCTTAGCAAGTCTTCCAAGTCAATTTTAGAGCCTTGACAGTCACAGAAACTTAACCCTGAAAACTTCAAGATGCATGGTAAGCCATCATATGTGATTTACAAATACACTTGAGAAATTAATGATACAGGTATTTCAGGAAGGAGTGTGCTTATTTTTTTTCTACATTATCCCTGGATATTCAAGTTTTATAGGAAGCAAACTTTTTAAAAGAGCACTAGCGAAATTAAATCAGAAGGGAGGTGTGTCCCCCTCCCCCGCCCAGGACCTGTCAGAATCAATCTCTCCCACCCGTGTTCTTCTATGATAGTCTGTACTTTGGTTCTGTCAGGCATTAAGTCTGTCTTGTATTAGACTTACATGCTTACTTATCCCAATAACACATTCTCCACTGTGGACAAGAACGAGGTCTTGCTCATTTTTCATTCCTTGCCCCGCTGAGAACATGGTAGGAGCCTAATAAATATTGATTAATATAACTGCTTACTGTGAATCCCTCTGAAAGGGTTACAAGTAAAATGTAATCATTTGTTTGCAACTGGTCATTAATATACTTAGGGCTCATGTAGGTACATAGATAACCTGTATCTGAGTTTCAAAACCTACAGTCAATGGGTAAGGTTTTTATGAATAACCCCCTGAAATGTTATGCAGAATGTTGTGTGTAGGTATGTGCATATTTCTGGAGCAAATATCTATAAACTTTAATCAAACAAATCTCTTTACCCACCACATATTCTCAAGATATTATAGTTCATTTTCCTATACAGCTTTACTCAACCTCTCAATTTATTAAAGCCTACTATAGTAGGGGCAAATATAGGCCAGCATCTGCAATGCGATATTTCCAGTTATAGCCTTTCACACATACATGACAAGCTTGTGATTTCTAAACCCATGTCTGAAAAGAGACCATTTTAAACCAGCATTTAATCCCCAGATTTTTATTCTCTAAAAAGGTCATATTCTATATTCCCAGTACCTTTATGATGCCATCAACAGCACTTCAAGGCCCCTGCAGGAGCAAACATTTCCCTTCAGTGGAAGCAAACATTCTCCCTGTAGAGCCTTCTCTATGCACTCACAGTCAACACCCACACATTTCACTCAGGAAAATGAATCCCCACCTCTAAGTTTCAGGGGAAGCTCCTTGATGGGAAACTGAGGCTAACAGCCCCTCTGAGGGACATCTGATACACACCATTAGAGAAATAAGAGAAAATGGTACCTATGTTGTCTTCACTGCTACCAACGCTGGACAGAAGACAAAGGACGGTGACTTGAAGCAGTTTCATGGTGCCTGTGGATTGTCGCCGTGGCTCCTCGCTCCAGTGTCAGCCAGGGACAACTCCCTCCCAGCCTGGCAGGGCCTGATTAGCAAATGGAAAAGGTGTGCGGACTGTGAACAGCCACTGCCCATTCCTCCTTATTTCGGGGGCTGTGATAAAGAACGGGAGGAAACACACACACTCCCTTGGGGAGTTCAGCAGAGAGGAGATTTATTGTTTCAGTCCCTTACAGGAACTTTTTTTTTTCTCTCTTCCTTTGGCAGCCACTTGTGTTTTTGTTACTACATTATTTTGTTCGTCTTCAACAAAAAGGTCAGGGCGGGTTTTGAACAGAAACAGATCTTTCTTGAGAATGGGTCCTACAGCTTTCTAACTTTTGTTTTGAAAGTGCATTTTGGAGTGGTTATAAAGGGACCTCATTAAAGAGTGACTCAGTTTGGATAAAGAGGCTTTAACTGCCCGAGAGTTAAATTTTAGAGCAAAATCCACAAGGAATCAACTTTTCTTCTTTCTTTACAAATTGAAAGCCCGATTAGCAAAGACCGTCTCCTGAAGATAACTGCACAACCTGCTTAGATAAGAGCATACTCTGTTCTAAGTGATCGGAGGCTGCTTAGGGATGCCCAGGGAAGTGTCTCAGGATAGTCCTAATAGAACTAAGCAAAGACATATAAACATTCACTGATCATTCCTGGGTTTTATTAATGGAAATTGATGAAGAGGAAAGAAAAATTACTTCTAATACCCGGGTTCTCTTCTCCAGGAAATACAATTGAAATGGCACTGATTGGGAGACTCTAGCAACAAATCAGTGAGTTTGGGAAGGAGGAATTCTTCAAATCAGAATGCCAAGCAAGCTAGATACTCTGTATACCAGGGATCTGTTTGATATTAGCAGCAATTGATTAAAACCTAGTGAGTACATAGCCCCAACCCTGGCTTCAATCCCCGTAGGCTGTGCTGGCATCTCAGCTGATTGCCCTTTTATACACCTTTAGGCATAAACCTGATAAACAAAAGACTAATGGTAGATCAGTATAGATAGATTCATCTGCTCCACCAAAAAAAAACCACCAAAAAACCATAAAACTATTCCAAAATTATACTTTTACCTGTTTTTAAGGAAGACACACATTGCACTGCTTCTCAGGGCCGGGAAGGACTCATTCTAAGAGGGGTTAGAGCAAGTCAACTAGTCAAAACACCCCAGAACACTAGTTTCATCCCAAGTTATGTCAAGTCCCAAAAGGGCCTCCGAGTTCTGTTTTGTATATAAGCAATACTCAATTTTATCATCTTTTCGAATTAATATTCTAAAGCAGACTACTTTTGGAGTTGTTGCTTTATTTGGTATATCCTGGAGAGTATAAAGATAGCAATAATGTGAACAGATGTCACATGCACATTCCAGAAATACGTTGGGGTGTGGCCATGAACTCACAGTGGAGTACTCACATTGCCTCACTTCCTGCTCCTTGCTCTGCTTCATCTCTGGAGTTTTCAGCACACAGAGTCACCACTGATGTCGGCCACAGTCATTGTTATGGATTCAATAGCATTTTGATTTCTCAGCCCTGACTGCTGAGCGTTTCATGAAAAAGACTAGAAACCTATTCCTAGAATACTTGATAAAAATATTATGTCTACCTCTGGCCAGTGTGACTCAGTGGACAGAGATTCAGGCCAGGTGTCAAAGGGTCAAGATTCAGTTCCTGGTCAAGGGTATGTACCTGGGTTGCAGTTTTGATCCCCCACCCAGTGAGGGCATGTGTGGGGGGCAACCAATAAATGTGTCTCTCTCACATCGATGTTTTTCTCTCTCTCCCTCCCTGCCTTCCCAACACCATTTATTGAACAGATTGTTTTTACAGCATTGTATAGGGTGTCCCAAAAAATGTATACCCACACTTTAAATAATTATAAAGGCAGTGTTTATTAAAATACATTTTATTTTTAAACTGCGCTATCAGCTGTTAAAGTGTGTATACATTTTGGGGGACACTCTATATGTTCTTGCCTCCTTTGCCAAATATTAATTAACCATATAGGTGTGGGTTTATTTCTGGGCTCTCTATTCTGTTCCATTTATCTATATGTCTGTTTTTATGCCAGTACTATGCTATTTTGATTATTATGGCCTTGTAGAATAATTTGATATTTGGGTAGCATGATACCCCAATTTAGTTTTTCTTTTGTGATATTGTTGAGGCTATTCGGGTCTTTTGTGGTTCCATATATTTTTGAATTATTTGTTCTAGTTCTGCGAAATATGCTATTGATATTTTGATAGGAATTTCATTGAATCTATAGATTGCTTTGGGTAGTATGGACATTTTAATAATGTTAATTCCTCTTATCCTTGAGCACAGTTTATGCTTCTAATTATTTGAAATTTCTTCAATTTCTTTCTTCCGTGCCATAATTTTCCAAGTAAAGGTCTTTTATCTCCAATGTCACTAATCATCAGAGGTATGAAAATTAAAACCACAATGATATATCACCTCATACCTGTCAGAATGGCTATTCAATAAATCAACTTACAGCTATTATTGGTGAGGATGTATAGAAAAGGGAACCTTAGTACACTATTGGTGGAAATGCAGATTGGTGCAGCCAGGATGGAAAAAAGTGTGGAGGTTCCTCAAAAAATTAAAAATAGAACTGTCTTATGACCCAGCAATTCCACTTCTGAGTATTTATCAGAAGAAAACCAAAACACTAATTTGAAAGAATACATATACCTCTATATTCATTACAATAGCCAAGATATGTAAGTAACTCAAGTGCCCATCAATAATCGAGCGGATAAAAAAGTGATGGTACATATAATGGACTATTACTTGGCCATAAAAAAGAATGAAATTTTTTTAAACTATATTTTATTGATTTTTTACAGAGAGGAAGGGAGAGGGATAGAGAGTTAGAAACATCGATGGGAGAGAAACATCGAACAGCTGCCTCCTGCACACTCCCCACTGGGAATGTGCCTGCAACCAAGGTACATGCCCTTGACTGGAATCGAACCCGGGACCCTTGAGTCCACAGGCCGATGCTCTATCCACTGAGCCAAACCGGTTAGGACAAAAGAATGAAATTTTACCATTTGCAACAGCATGCATGGACCCTAGAAGGTATTATACTAAGTGAAATAAGTTAGTCACAGAAAGACCAATACCATATGATCTCACTTATATGTGGAATTTAAAGAACAAAATAAATAAATTTTAAAAGTTGGAACAGACTAATAGATACAGAGAACAGACTGATAGTAGCTAGGGAGGGAGGTTGGGGAACTGGGTGAAAATGTGAAGAGATAAAGATATGAAAATTGGTTGTTACAAAATAGTCACAGGGATGTAAAGTAAAGCATAGGGAATACAGTCAACAATATTATAATAACTGTGTATGGTTCCTGCTGGGATACTTGAAAGATCAGGGGGGACACTTTGTAAAGTATATGATTGTCTAACCACTATGCTGTACACCTGAAACTAATATAAAATACTATTGAACATAAACTGAAATTGGAAAAAAAAAAGACTTCTCTCACTTCTCACCAACTCCCTACTCTGATAGGAAATAATCTCTTAAGACTCTTGATACTTAAAGACATGAATATGGGGGTGGGAGATCATAAAGCACAGTCTCTCAGAGATGAGATATACAGGGAAGTTCTTTAATACAATGTTATTATCATTTGTCAGAAATCCCACTGTCAAATGATGAGTGAACCTGCGTGTCAACAGTTGAAACAATTGGACCTCATTACTCTGTGAGGCAGTCCATTCTTTTGTTGGACCATTCTTCTTGTTACAAAATTCAAAAATTTTTCTTTACCCTTATCTGCCTTAAGAAGCTCTTCAAGCCACTGTCATAAATTGATTTCTTTATGGACAAACCTAAACTGAAGTGTATTTATTCCATTAATCATGTAAATCATATGAATAAGTAAATTAGATTTTTCCGAGATTTTTTAGGGAATAAGATGGCTTATAATGTATTCAATTATATCTAATATAGCACAGGTATGGGTACCTCCTGGGAAATCTGGAGTATGTAAATAAACTAAAAAATAAACAGGCAAATATAAAGTTCTTCAATCGTTTTCTCAATTTTCCATTTAGCTCAGCTGTTGCCATATACACCATGTCCAAGATTTCTGTTCAGATGTCTCACTTTTAGTGTGCCAGAAATAGTATCTTAGGGTAATATTCTTGTCTTTTGTCAAATGATACCTATTAAAAGTTACTGACTGCGTAGTATATGCCAGGGATTTTTTTTATAGATATCTTCATAGAAAAGTGTGACACATAAGTGTGTACCCTGAGAAAGAAGATTCCTACAAGAGGGCTCCCAGTGGCCAATTTGCGTCAAATTTAAAAAACAGAGCCTAGCAGCCATTTCTGCATGATGAGGGGGTGAGCGGGGGTCCTATGAAAACTGCATTTCAAGGAGAAGCCTGCACTAAACTACCTGTCTCTGCACTGAACTGCCTACCTGAGCCAGCCCTTATAAAGTAGTTCATAGAGGAGTTCCTGAAATCCTATTTCAACCAATAGGAGGACTAAGGCTCTCTTCATCCAATCAGATCTGTGGAGCTAATTCATCAACTAGACAGAGAGGCTCCATTCTGGCCAATCAGGAAAGTGCCCTTTAGACCAAACAAACTGTGAGGATTTAGAGTCCTCATTTACATGAGGACTAACTAATCAGGGACCAGGATCAGGGACTTCCATCTATATTGGTCAGCACTCTTCCGGCTCTGAGAGCAACTTTTCCTTTCCAGTGAAGACTGGAGACTGTGTTTTCCCTGCTGGAGCTGAAACACTGAAGATGGAACACAGAAATCCCTCTGGAATAGAGCGGAGCAGACCAGGGAGGAGCAAAGAAGACCAGTGAGGAGCAGAGCAGACCAGGGAGGAGCAGAGCAGAGCAGAGCAATCTAGCCAGAGAGGGGCCTGGCCCCAGGGCCGCCTCCTTGCCTCAGGGCCTCCCAACAGCAGGGCTGTTTTCACAGCTGTGCTATATCACAATTGCGCTGTTTGCACTAAATAATTTTCTTCTTGACTGCACCCCAAATTGGGGAATCCAGTTGGTATTGAACTGACTATGCCAAGGACCTATGGTTGACAAAGTGAA